GATGCTAATTCACAATGTGGAGGGTGGCAAGGGAAGAATAGAGGTACTTTGGATGAGTCAGAGGGGAGTGAAGGGAGGGGAGGGGGTACAGGGGTAGGAAGGACGGTAGAATGAATCGGACATTATTACCCTATGTGCGTATGTGATTACACAACCAGTTCTACATCACATGCAACCAGAAGAATAAGTTGTACTCCATTTATATATGCAGTGTCAAAATGCATTCTATTGTCGTGTATAACTAATTAGAACAAATTTTAAAAAAAAGAATGGCAAAAATATTCTGAAACAATAACAGAAAATTTTAAGAGATAAAAAATTCTCTCTTGACTCAACCAACTTCTTAATAGTCCCACCATCATCCATTTTTAAAATTTAGATGACACAGAATGCATTAGGATTCCTTATTACACATATAGAGCACAATTTTTCATATCTATGGTTGTATATAAAGTATATTCACACCAATTCGTGTCTTCATACATGTACTTTGGATAATATGTCCATCACATTCCATCATCATTTCTAACCCCTTGCCCCCTCCGCTCCCTTCCCACCCCTCTGTCCTATCTAGAGTTTGTCTATTCCTCCATGTTCCCCCTCCTTACCCCACTATGAATTAGCCGTTTTATATCAAAGAAAACATTCGGCATTTGTTTTGGGGGATTGGATAACTTCACTTAGCATTATCTTCTCTAACTCCATCCATTTACCTGCAAATGCCACGATTTTATTCTCTTTTATTGCTGAGTAATATTCCATTATGTATATATGCCACGATTTCTTTTCCTGTATTTCTAAAGTAGCTGTGAGTTTAGTGATGTGTGTTCTTCATCCATCCTTTGTCCACCCCCTGCCTCTGGGAACCGACTCCTTCCAATTCGGTATCTTGACCTTCTTTGCATTCACATCCTTCCTCACTCACATTTACCTCCCTAAAACAAAGGAAGCTGAACTGTCTCCGTAGCCTTCACACACGTTCCTAGAAGTTCCCCAATGACCTGCTGAGGAAGCCACCCCACTGTCCTTCTTTCTCCAGTCCCTAACCTGTCCACCTCTCCCAGAGCTCTTTCTACTTTTCTCTCTTCCTCGTGGAAGTTCCTCCTCCTCTGCCTGCCCTTTATAGACTAGTGACTCCCGGGGTCTTCCACACGGCCACGCTCTCTTGATACCCTGGAAGCTCTTCTGGGGCTTTCTCTCTGGCTTTGCATAGTCACATCCAGATATCTTGCCTGAATTCAGTCTCACTTGCAACTTACCACTGGACCTCTTTACCCTAGAAGCTTCTAGCTCAACCCCTATAAGCCAGATTTCCATCCTAAGTCCTGGACTTCAGCCAACCATACCAAAAAAAGACGCTATCTTAATTTCCTCCCTTCATTAGTCTTGTACATTCTTCCTGCAAAATGAATCCCAAGCCTGTCACTCATTTTCACCGCCTCTTTGTAAAATCAGACGCTGACTGTCTATACCCTGGTTCATTAGACAGACTCCTCATGAAGTTCCTGCTTTCAATTTCTTTCACGATACTTTTTCTCCCATGCTACGTCATAAATTATATTTCTCAAATGTAGTTATTGTCAAAAACTTCACTTCCATAATTAAAACTTGTTGATGGTCTTTCATTGTCTGCATTAAAATCCAAATGTCTTACCTAGCACTCAGGCAGTGTGGGATTTGCTCCCAGTCTGCTTTTTCTAACTCATTTCTTTCCTATGCGTTCCCCGTACATCCTCAGATGTAAGCACAGGCAGCTACTATAGGCTCCCCTACTGCCCACAAATGCCATGAATTCTGACAGTGCCAGGGACTTACCATGGTTTCCTCTTTTCCTGGAATGCCTTGTGCATTTGATGAAATTATATCCATGCTTCTAAGTCCAGCTCAAAGGCCACCCTCTCTGTGAAGTTCCCCAAACCTTGCTTTTTCCTGCCCCTTAGGAAATGAGTCACTCTCCCCTATGAGTCTGCAGACCAGAATGATTCCAAAACCTGGCTGAGCACTGGAATCAACTGAGAAGTTTTGAGAAGATATTGATACCTGGGCCTTACCTCCCACATCGCGCACCAGGACATCTGAGAATAAGCCTGTGCAGTAGTAATCTCTTTTTCAAAAATCTTTGGTGCTAAAATTTACAAAACATAAAGTTTACTGTCTTAACCATTTTTAAGTGTACAGTTCAGTAGTATCAAATATATCTATAATTTGTGAATCCATTTCCGGAACTCTTCTTCTTGCAAAACTAAAACTCTGTAGCCATTAAACAACTACTGCACATCCTCCCTCCCTGGAAACCATCATTCTGCTTTCTGTCTCTGATTCTAACTATGTTAAATATCTCATATAAATAGAATCTTGAGTATTTATCTTTGTGTTACTGGATTATTTCGCTCAGCTTAATGTCCTCTAGGCTCATTCATGTTTGTAACATGTATCAGAATTTCCTTCCTTTTGAAGACTGAGTAATATTCCATTATATCATAGACCACCTTTTGTTTTTCCACTTCTCCATCAGTGCACACTTAGGTTGCTGTCATACTTCTGCTATTGTGGAATAATACTGTTATGAAGTTGAGTATACAAATATCTGTTCAAGACCTTCCTTTTAATTCTTTTAGATTGCTGTACCCAGAATTAGAATCCTTGGATTGTAAGGTAATTCTGTTTAATTTTTTGAGGACCCACCATACTGTTTTCCGTAGCACCTTTACCATTTCACATCCCCATCCACAGTGCACATGTCCTCTAATATCCCCATATCCTCAGTACTTGGTATTTACTTTTTTGGTACCAGGGATTGAACCCAGGGGTGCTTAACCACTGAGCCACATTCTCAGTCCTATTTTATATTTTATTTAGTGACAGGGTCTCACTGAGTTGCTTAGTGCCTGGCTTTTGCTGAGGCTGGCTTTGAACTGGCGATCCTCCTGCCTCAGCCTCCCAAGCCGCTAGGATTGCAGGCATGCGCCACTGTGCCCGGCAACATTTGTTATTCACTTAAAAAAATTGTTTTTTGATAGTAGCCATCCTGTTGAGTGTGAGTCATTAATAATTGTTTAAATAGGATCTCAGGTGCTTAGAATTTGTTCAAATCTTGATTCCTGGCCCACTCTCATCATTGACAACGCATGTGCCATTCTTAATTGACTCTTAATAGCATAACAAACATGTGTGAACCCACCACCTGATTTAAGAGTCCAAATATTAAAAGCAACTTGCTACCCATGTCACCTTCCTCTGTGACATCTATTTGCCCACACAAGAGACAACCACTTTATCCTGAAATTTTTGTCTTCATTTGAAAAACCATTCTATTATATATGTAAATGTATGGGTTCCTAAATCACATATTGTTTATCTTTGTTCTTTGAACTTTATTCATAAAACATACGTATGTCTCCAGGTATTGTCATTTTCCCAAAGCTCCAGGTGATGCCCACGCACAGGCTGGGGACAGCCACTATCAGGGCACTTTCTATGGGGCCTCTCTGCCAGCTCCTTGGGTCAGCCCTGTGGACCACCTGACTGGCCTTCCTTCAGCTCTGGCTCTAGGACTGACCTTTGGCTCAGGTTCTTACTAGGTGAGTCCCCAGCCCCGGGCTGCTGTCTGTTCACCCAGGGCATTCTGTTCTCATCTGGTCTTCAACCATCCTCTTAAAGCTCTTTCCCCATCCCTAACTGTGGATGTGCCATCTCCATCCTCTGCCCCTTTGTCAGTGTGCTCTTTGGTGCCCACCCCACGCCTATAGGAAGCACTTATTCTTAATAATGGCAAAGGAGAGCTAGCAATGGTGCAAAGGTTGGCAAATGGAAAACTACGTAGAGAAAAGGACAAATCAAAGCAAAATTTCCCTGGTATCTTTAGTCTCTGCCAACTGGGACGGCAGAACTGGGGCTCGTGAAGTCACAACACAGAAACAGGAATGCAGATCGTTGCTGGTGGGACTGCAATTTGGTGCCACCCCCCTGGAAAGCAGTATGGAGACTCCCCAAGAGCTAAGAATGGACTCACCACATGGCCAGCTCTTCCACTCCTCAGTAGATTTCCAAAAGATCTAAAATCAGTACACTACAGTGCTGCAGCCATGTCAATGTTTATAGCAACAATATATTATCACAATAGCTAAGCTATGGAACCAACCAAGGTGCCCTCCAACAGATGACAGGATAAAGAAAAGGTGATACACACACACACACACACACACACACACACACACACACACACTGGAATATTACTCAACCACAAAGAGGAATGAAATTATGGTATTTGTGGGTAAATGGATGGAACTAGAGACTATCATGCTAAGTGAAATAAGCCAATCCTAAAAGCAAAGGCCAAATGCTTTCTCTGATATGCAGAAGCTAATCCAGAATGGGGGGTGGGCAGGGTAGAGAAAGAAAGAGGGAAAAAAAGGGAGAGGAAATTTCATCAAGATAGAAGAAAGATCAGTACAGTAGACAAGGGGAGTTGAGGGGGAGGAAGGCAGATGGGAAAGGAAGACAGTGGAATGAATCTGACTGAACTTCCATATGTATATACATGAATTTAGCAGAGTGAATTCCAATATCAAGTATATCCATAAGACACTAATTTTAAAAAACTATAAATATATTGCAGCAAGAGCAATAGAGGGACGGGGGAAGAGCTGGACACTGAATTGGAGCAAATTATATTCCATGTTTTTGTGATTATGTCAAAATGTGTCCTAATGTTATATATAGCTAAAAAGAATTTTAAGAGTACACTATTTGGCTGGAGATGTAGCTCAGTGGTAGAGCCCTGGCCTGCACTAAGCCCAGCACTGCAAAAAGTAAATAAAAAATAAATAAAGATAGAAACACTATTAGTATCAAGAAAAGAAAGAAAGAATTGGAATGCAGTTAGTCCTTAACGTGTGGACCAGCCGATGTTGCCCCCGGATGAGCTGCTCCATCTCTGAGTCCGTGTTATTCGCCCTTCCCCTGCCACTCCCCTGGTGACCACGAGCCGTGTGCAGCAGTGCAGACTAAATTGCATTTATTTAAAAAGGCTGCAGACAGTCCACAGGGAGAGCATGGCTGGCTTTATTCTGGGTTAGCCCGATTCGAGGACAAAGAATTACACTCTTGCTTGGCTCCTTGGTCTCTGGGGTCTCTGTCTGTGTCCCAGAAAAGCTGGGTTTCTTGGAAAGAACGAAGGAGATGAGAAAATGTGGTCTTTCCTGCTGTCATCTTGGGGAAATCACACAGGTACATAGAATGGAATCGGGGTGTCCCTTCTTATTGTTCTTTGGCTGCGACATTGAAGCTCTTCTCCTTCCCAGTCAGAGTAGGAAGTCCGGACGGTTCTTCCACATCCTAAGGATACAGAGACCCAACTGCTGAATAGGAGTCAAGTGTCCTCTCTGCCAATACATTAGGGTCTGGAAGTTAAGTCTGCTGAAAAAAAAATCAAAAAACAAAGCACATTTGTGGGTGGAAAAACTCCTATTACCCACAATAAATTCTCTTTTGTGGCTCGAATGAAAAGTATTGTAACAGCTTATATTTTGTCTCAAGAAATCAAAAAGGTTCTCATTTGAGAACCACTCCAACAGAAGTGGAGTTGACCACTAACCAGGGAGTTAATGAACCTGTCTTCTTGGAGGTTTAAATATATTACGTGACATTGAATCATCATTTGTAGAAATTTTAAACTTCTAATTCTTTTCCTTGAGTCAGTGAGTCCACCTGTCCGTCTGATCCTCGGGGATCTTCAACCATTAAGTGTCTGTACTTTTTGTAAGTTAGGTGGCACCAGAGCTCTCCCTCTCTGCGGCACACACTCGCGGGGAGGCACAAGTTTGCCCACACAGCTGGCTCTAAAAGAAACTCTGGCTTTTAAAATTACTATTTTCTTTTTCTTTTAAATCATGGTCTTAATATTGAATCCAAAAGCTCAAGCAAACATGATGTCAGGGAGAGGCCCAGTAGGGCAGTTCGAGAAGATTAGATGTCTTCAAATTACATAAAAAGTGAGAGCAAGAGGCCTCTAAAGTCAACATTTAATAATCTGAGTCACACTCGTGGTTTTACTCCCTTGCTTAGAAAAACAGTATCATCACCGACTTGTCGTAAAACCTCCCAGGGGCGCACACTTCTGTGGGAGAGAGGCTCGCAGACCAGAGGGGAGCATCCAAGAGGGGTCCCCGGGCCCTTTGGACGTGTGCCAAGGCTAGAAGTCCTGAGGTCTCTGGAGGGCAATCTTCAATTTCTTCACACAGAGAAAAATATCTAAATAAGGTCAGCGTTAAATAATATTGTTCTTCAATGGTGTGTTAGTCATCTTTTTGTCACTATGATTAAAATACCCAACAAGAACAACTTAGAGGAAGAAAGGTTTATTTTGGCTCATGGTTTTTTAGAGGTTCAGTTCACGGTTGGCCAACTTCATCGCTCTGGGCTTGAAGTCAGGCACAGCATCATGGCGGAAGGGCATGGGGAAGGAAAGCTGCTCAGGTTATGTAGTTGAGAAGGACAGAGAGGGAGAGAGAGACAGACAGACAGACAGACAGATAGGGAGAAACCAGAGACAAGACACAGTGCCCAAAAGTATGTCCCCAGTGACTCACTTCCTCCAGCCATGCCCACCTGCCCACAATTACCACCCAGTGGTCCATTCAAAGTATTAATCCATCAAATGGATTAATCCACTGATGAGGTTACAACTGAGAATCTGATCATTTCACCTGTGAACATTCCACCCTGGATATCTTGTTTCTAACACATGAACTTTTATGGGAAGGGACACTTTATATCCAAACCATAAGGTTCTTTGTTCTGAGCAACAACGTAAAGGGTAAAAGAATAGATGTGCACCAACCCCCTAGCAGCAAAATTGGCTCTTGCCTGTTCAAAGTTAAGTTTCAGGCAGCACGTCCCCTGTTGTGGCTCCAGGACCAGTAGCACCTGTCGCTCTACACTTGTCAGGAATAGAAATTCTCAGCCACCTCCCCAGACTTGATGCATCAGAAACCCCGGGGAAAGGACCCAGGAGCAGGTGCTGAGCAAGTCCTACGGGCGATTCTGGTGCAGGTTCTAGTTTGATGACCACCGATTCCATATTCACTACGCAAAAGACCACCAGGTGTCTGAATATAAGCCAGCAATAGGGTGTTGCTTACGGAGGAGAGTACGGAGGAGAGAGGTGAACCACCAGGACTCTGGAGCTCATAAACCATATTCCTACCTTCAGGAAAGGGAGTGATGTGGACACAAATAATTTTTTTTTTCCAGCTGAGGCCGATTGACATCAAAGCCATAAAAAACAACTCAGTGTCACAGAAAGGTAAAATAAACCCACTTAGATTACCATTTTCCTTCTTTACAATATGAAATACAGCATATTTACTTTTCTTTGTCTTTTTCAGTTCACATAAAACAAAGCCAGGAAAAATAGCACTGTTTTCTATTGTAGTTTAAAAGGATCCCAGATTCTACAGCAGAACTCATTTCCTTAAAGGGCAAAGACTTTCAGGACACCCCTTTTGTACCTAACTCACTCCTTAAAGAAGTCAAAAAGTCCATAAAGGCAAAAGGGAAAAGTTGCAAAAATAGCCCAGGAAGAAATATAAATGAGAGACAGAGAAAAAGATAGGAATATATAGTTGGCCTCTGCATCGGCAGCTCAGCACCCGTGATTATACAAACCATGGATGGAAAATTGTTTGTTTGTTTTTTAATTGCATCTGCTTTGAGCATTTACTGACCTCTTTTTTCTTGTTGTTATTCCCCAAACAATACAGTATAAGAATTATTTGCATAGCATTTCCATAGTAGTAGGTATTATAAGCCATCGAGAGGTGATTTAATGATACAGGAGCATGTACATAGGTCCTACGCAAGCACTGTGCTGTTTTAATAAGAGTCTCTGAGGATTTTGGTATCCTCAGTGACTGTACGTAGAGAGGAACACATCACAGTGTCAACAGAAGAAAATTACAGGGGTTAAAAAGCAAAAGGATGATACCTGAGACACAAGGAACTGAAGTGATTCACAAACTAGATGAGTAAGGCTCATGAACTTCAAGTCCCATCACCTAGCTACTAAGAGACAAAGCTTTTCACATCTGGAATCCCAGAAACTCTGGAGGCTGAGGCAGGAGGATCATGAGTTTGAGGCCAGCCTCAGCAACTTAGAGAAACCCTGTCTCTGAAAACAAAAAGATAAAAATAAATTCCCGGTTCCCCAAACAATCAAGCAAGCAAAGAAACAAAAGAAAACTTTTCCTTTAAAAAAATTAAATTCATGAAAATCTTTGTCCCCAAATTCTGGCCAAGTATCAAGAACCAAGAACTAGACTCTTAAGGACATGGGATTCTCTCTAATGGAGGGGACACCTTTGTTCCAGAAGAGATACTGGGATCTGTGCTGAGCTGCTTGCAAGGCAGTGAGCACTTGGGACAGGGTACCCAAGCCAAGGAGGATGGGTACCTGTGATGAATGGGGCAGATTCTTGTTATCAAGAGAAGAGAGGAAAAGGGAGATTTGGGTTCTTTAAAAATTTTCCACTTTGCTGAGAATATCTTTGAGTTTTAATTCACAGCAACTGCTTCACAGATATGGAAACATGGCTCAATGGAGCAAGGTCTGTGAATTCTCACCCTAAACCACAATCCACCGCTCACTTCTCAACCAGTCAGTATCCTGTTTCATGCTTGGTTCCATTTCTGAAATAAGAATATATATATCCTAACATTACAGAGTGCATGATAATTAAGAAAAGCGGACCTGAGAACTTAGAGAGGCGAAGGCTTAGTAGGTACATTTTAGAATTCATGAAGAGTGTTCTGTAGCAATAACTGAATCCTTCAAGAGCCATTGTAGGCAGGGTTGGCCCAAGGGAAAATACGATCTGACCCAAACGACAGGAGACAAGCACCCACTCCCAAGGAGGGAACGGCTTATTCAAGAAAAGACATCTGAAAGCATAAACTACCTCGACACACAAAAAGAGACCTCTCAGGCACGTCTTCAGAGTCACAGAATTACTTACTTCCAGGTAAGGTCAGTTCTTCCAATTAACACTTCCATTCAGGAAAACACGAGTCTTCCACTTGGTATAGCTAGGGGCTGGACATTCATTTTGTCATCTCAGTCAAGAAACAAGAAAGAACAGTAAGAACTGGGGATATAGAGCTCAATTGGTAGAGTGCTTGCCTCACATGCACAAGGCCCTGGGTTCGATCCCCAGCACGACACACATACAAAAAAAAATGTGGTTTAAGAAAGAACAGTAAAGAAAGAGCCACACCCTCATCCCCACTGGCTTTCATCAGTCGGTAGGTTGGAGTGTCCAGTAATGTGTCTGACAATATATTTGGTGGGTGAGAGAGGTTACAGTCCATCTTACAGGAAGTTCCAAGCTTCTTAGGCTTGTCTGTACTCATCTTTCCTTGGATCTGAAGCATCATATCATTAATGTATGAGTAAGAGTCATACCAGGAAAACAAGTTGAGGAATTAAGCTTTTTGCTCAAAGACAGCATTACAGAGGAAGTCAAGGGATAGTGGGAAATCACATGGAAATATTTGTTTTCTGTACATAGGTTCAGACACAAGTTATCCACACAAGGGCATAATCTGTCTTTCAATCTCTAGGTGGAAAATCCTTCTCTGCCTTCCCTTGAGAGGAGGAGAACTGGATTTGAACATATCTCTCTTTGGTGCACGTGGTACCTCCCTTGCACTTCTTCAAAGCTAAGAGCGCTGGGACAACGAGGAGATGCTTTCCCTTGGGTAACGCTATCACATCAAGCATGATCTCTCTTGAATCAACAGAGTTCATAAGGATCATTCTCGTATCAGCACAGCTAAATGGACAAATAATATCTAGGCTTCCATGCAAGAATGTTTGATCAATAAAACACTGGAATTAGGGCATTTTCCATTAATCAAATTGCTTCACCATTAAAAAGCCAATCTAGGAATGAGGTAAAATTTCACGTGGCTGCCAATGACTTGTTACCCAGTGATGACCTTGGGTCAAGACGGAGAGAGCATATCCTGGGCTGACTTAGGCAGGACTTCAAAGCTGTGATATGATGAAGCTAAAAGAAAAGGGACCCAAGTAGCCCATGAATAGTGTCCTCGATCCTGGCATTTGGAGAGCCTTCTCCACTCAAGGTAAATACAAGGTTGATTGCACCGTTTGATTTCCAGCATACCACGTCTCTGGTATTTATGAGTACAGTCTGAAAGAATGAAAAGAGTGCAAAAGACAGAGGAGGCCATCCAGTTCCTAGGCACCTTTGTACACAAGAGAAAAAAGAAGTGGTAGTAAGTGCGCTTGTGCCAAATGCCACCATGAAGACACGTTCCTCTTTTGGAGATCACATTCTTTTCTTGCTTGATAAGAATCAGGAGAACTGACGGTTATCGAATGCCTACTACGAGCTAAG